ATAAAATATTCTATTGTTTATATACTCTTTTATTTTCAATCATTTGTCATGATTAATGAGTAATATTATAATTAAATTAACAAATACTAGTTAAAAAAAAAAATGTATTAGAAACTTTAGTTATTAATTTTACTTATACAAAATTTTGATTAAATAAAGGACTATGATACTTTACAAAACATTTTATGTTTTTTCAAAATGCATCTCACTCTATTTAGAGCTAACTATTTAGATAGAAATTACCTAAATAATTATATACTATTTTAGAAACTCATATAATTATATTATACTATTTAAGGAGTGTATTTATAAATTATTAATTCAAATAAATTAAAGAATTACACGTCATAGAATTTTATAAATAATATTGTGAAAATTTCGTTGTAAATTTGAATAATATGAAGAAATAAAAAATAGTACAAAAATAATGGACTTTGCGTTATATGTTAAAATGATCGTTAGAAAACATCTTAAAGAAAGTTATATTTTAATAAAGTATATATATATGTGTATATATATATATATATATATGTATATATATATATAAATGTCTATTGAATGGGAATATTTTGCTAATAAATTGAAGTATTAGAAGAGGTTAATTATAATAAAAAAGTAATTAAATGTAGTAAATGTATGAAAAGATGGAATATAGAATTAATGAAAAGTAAGAAGACGAGAGAATACTAAAGAGTAAAAAGTCAAAAGAGAATATAAAAAGAACGAAGAACTTGGGGAAACGATAGTATCCTTAATTTCCAAGTACTTGCTATGATAGACGCAGTAATAGCCCGTGAAAATTTACCGGCTTTTCACGCTTCTTCACTTGTTTGTTGCGCAACAACTAAATAGTCGTATCCGAGAGATGGGCCATCTCTCTGATATGATAAATAAAATTTCAAAGCATAAAAGAATACTTATATTTTTCACGCAGAGGTTGGTAAATATTTGAATGGAAAATTAATTCTCGAACCAATATATTTTTCTCGCAGTCATCTAATTTTTCCAAAAGATATATAGTTTTGTATATAGTTTTTGTTAATTAGGCTAAATTGTGTTTATCGTTACTTAAAGTACCGCTACCATAGCTGATTATTGCAAATTGAAATAGAATTTAAAGCAAATGGAAATCGATAAACCAATTATTGACAGTAAATATATACATGTTTAGAATATTTACATAATATTTCGGGAAAATTCAAAAATAGGTTTTCACACACACGCGCGCGCGCGCGCACACACACACACACACACGCACACACATAAATATATATTAACTAATTTCAATATTATCATGAATCCATAATAAAAAATTTAAGACATTTTTAACCATATGCCTTTCGCGTCTCGTACAATCGTGTCGTATTCGCTGAAAAAAATTCCTATAATTAATTTGACTAAAATGATAATCCATACGGAAAATAAAATATTATTATAGACATGTGGATATGTCAACAAAAAAATTCTCTGTACCTTAGAAATTGAAATAAACCATTTCTAGGTTAAATCTTACTATTATTATTGCGATCGTAACATTGCACCATAATTGAAGTAAAAATAATTGTATTGACATAAACATATATCGTTAAGTAAAACTATAAACGCCTTTAGGAATTATCGAGGAACGATCGGAAAAGATGAGCGGAAATTAAACGGTAATTCTCATATGAATATTAATAAAATTCCATATTTATTGATGATTACTTAAGATGTACATGTCTCTCGCTTGTATCCTTAGCTCACGCATTGTCATCTAATCTCTTCTCGGAGCTGCCATTTGCATCATCTGTATCATCGAGGTCGTACTCATCACTCCGTCGCCTACAATGACATGGAAATCACGGAGACAATTGATGCATCATCTGTATATTTTCAAAGGGGATTCCCTCTTTACGGGATAATATCAGCCGCACTGGTGAAACGCGGTGCTGCGCTTTTAATTTATGCATCGGCTTTGTTCGCGCGAACTGCCATTTTCGCCGATCCGACGTGAGCTGTCGCGAGGAAGAAAAATGCCAGTGAAAGAAATGGAAACAATTGCTCGCAGCTCGTGAATTTACATTGCATATTTTCGCACTCGTGCACGCACACACCCGCATATACACGCCACACTTCACCAATGCCAAAAGAAATGCATTATTATGTATGTGAAAATGACAATATCTCACTTGCGTTACTACAACGTCTTATCATTTTGCAATTTTTAAATATCAATTTTGTGACAAACTGCCGACACATATATTTGTAAGATTTCTTTTTGCTTCTCTTATTCCCTAGCGCTCTATTTCATAACGTCAATACGAAATTTCTGATATTTCATTTGAGAAGGTTTTAAAAGCAACGTATTTATTGTAAATTTTCTATTCTCTTTGCTTCAACGGAAATTGTTTGCTACATCTTGCATAATTCGCAAGGAATTTCGAATGAACATAATGTCTTGTAAAATATTCTTTTGATGCGTCAAATCGAATTTTTTACAAATAAAGTATACAAGAAATAATATTACATTGTATGTAGTGTCTCATGTAGACTTCAATCTATCGATATAATTTTATTTAGAATGTAAATCAAAAGTTTTTATAATCTTTCATTGTTCGAATATCGATTCTAAAATTAAATATATTGCAATGTACAAAAGAAGAAAAATAATCTTGCAGAATTAAATGATAAAGTAGAATTAGAATTTTTTATCAAAATGTACGATTCAAAAATTGCATTTAATTCACAATAGAATTGTATTTAACGAATTTAATCACGTAATTTTCATAATGTAAATAAATAATAAATGTAAATAATTATCTTTAATAAATTAGCAACTAATTATTTTCAAATATATTAAAACCATGGGTGAAAAACTCATAAATGGATAAATTTATTTTAATCATAGAAAAAAGACATTTAAATGCTCTATAAAGGAAAACAATTTCTTACCATACTTTAATCAATAACACTTTAAGTTTATAGAGATATTCTTTTTTTTTTTTTAATAATAAGATTGTGTACTTTTGTCTGCAAAAAAAATTTCACCAAGTAATGAAATTTCTTACATTCAACATAATTTCATTCAGCGTTTCATTACATAATTAGCATAAAAATATTTATAATTACATACAAATATTTTACGTTATCTTTTAATTAACTTAATAATACGTATATGCATACATACATAAACATGCGCACGCACGCGCGCAAACACGCACACGCATACACAAACACACGCACGCGCACATAAACGCATAAAATTTTTACAAGTGTTTCCATATATTCACGAAAAATGCCTTTCAAATAGACAAATTGTAAAATCTTGTCTACTATTTGAATTTTACGTGTTTAAATCCCTTTAATGAATCACGATCTTTTTTATAAATACAATAACCTTGTAGAATTGATAATATATCCAGTTGATTAAATTGTATATCCAATATTGTGCAATTACATTTAGAAATATAAATCTAATTTTAAGAATTGATATATCAGTGAATAGTTTGTGCTTGTAAAGGAAAACGAAGATTGCAAGAAGGAACTATCTCGTTAAAAATGATAAAATTGAACCTATGGAATGAAATTAAAATCACTAATATCCATATATTATTTAAATTTTTTTGTTTAATAAAATCTTGAGCATTAATGAGAACAATTTCATTATGACTTTTTTATTCGGAAAAAATTCCTTCTGATTGAATTAATTCATATTACACAGATATAATAAATTATTTATTAAGCTCAAATTAATAATTAGAATAGGACAAACTTCGTACATTATTTTATTTTAATTTAATATTAACTACACTCATCGCTAGATATTATAAACATAATGTATGTATGTATGTATACGTGTGCATATATATGATGAAATATGTAAAACATAATATTCGTTTGATGAAACAAGTACGATAGCATAGTAAAATGATAAAAAGAGGGGCGAAGGGAGGGGCAGAGGCGGAAGAGAGAGAGAGAGAGAGAGAGAGAGAGAGAGACACTTAATGGGACGAAAAAAAGAATAAGCGATATAAATAGGGAGGATAATGTAGGGTTGTAACCCTACCGAAGTAAAATCTAGGTAACAATATAAGCGCGTTTAGCATATTCCTTTAAAAATTGTAACAAAGTCCATTTGAAGATGCTTCGACGAGTAAAGTGACACACCAATGCGTAAGAGCTACTCGCGAAGAATAAATAATCCTCGTGGGCTCGAGGCTAGACACGCCTCGCTTACAAGGTTAATGTCTCGATTTAATGTCGAGACAGAGCAAAGGCCTGTCGATCGACCAGAGACTCATGTGCATTGGCCGAGCGAGGCCGTGGAGGACACACAGACACGGGAGGGGTGGGGGAGGCAGATGAAAGTCGCGAAAATTTTTTTCGCGCAACCGATGGCGTATCCTTATTCACACCTCCGGGAGCAGATCTCCAAGAAGTCTTAGTAAACTCGCTCGGCCGAAGTAACGAGTCCATCCGGGTAGCTGGGGGTGGAGTCGCGGTGTCCTCTTGCAGGCCGCGAAGAAGATTTAATCGAGGGGTTGCTCGACGTGACAGGCATCGGCTGGTGAGGGGATGGGCTGGTACGGGATGGGACAATGTGGGAAAGTTTAGCGCTCGCTTTTCAAGCGCTTCTCGCCAACAAAAACACCGAAGCCTTTCCTTCTTATTTATACGCTCCTCTGAATTACAATTATCCCCGCTCGTTGACTCACTCTCTCTCTCTCTCTCTCTTGCCATTATATACGCTCGGAATAATGAAACTGGTAATTCGAGCGATCCGCATTGACACCGCCTCGGCTACGTTTACGTCGATGGCCGCGCGATGCAATCGACGCCGTCTTGGAAAGGGAAAGAAGATCGCGAGGGCTTTGTTAGGCAAATGCGCTGCTCCGCCATCAAAATTTAACATCAACGCGCCGACGAAGACCAAAGACACGGAGGAGCTGCATCGTTGATAGCCAAATAATTTTCTCGCTACTCGTAAGAAATTTCAACTCAATACGACACTTGGTCGGCGCTTACGATATACACAAACTTGGTCATCCCGAGCATTGTCGGCGCTCCCTCGCAATGACCTTGTTATTAACCCCGTGACTGAGAGTTGCCAGACAGACTCGTGGCCGCAGGATGGGCGATGGGCGATGGGCGGGGTGACGCTACCTAGGATGGATGGCCGCTGGTCGTTGGCGGGCGCGTATGAGCGACCGATCGGCCGACTCAGATGATCTTGTCCTGGCAGCGGCAGGTGGCACGACAGAACTGCCGGCGCTCGCGTCCTTGATCCGTCTCGGTATCGCACAGCCAACCGGGCCACGTGGCTCGCAGCTGCTGGCAGTTGGCCCATAGGTCCGCCCAGGGGCAGGCGTTCTTGCAGAGCTTGCCGAGCTGGCATTGGCCCGGGCAGGAGGCGCAGTTCTCGCCGACCTCGTATGGCTCCGACAATTTGTCCACGCGGTTGCCGCTGAAAGCAAAGACGAGGCAAAGCTCGGTGATCGTCACCGCGCGATCAAGGGGAGGGGGCATGATGGCTGATAGACAACAAGATTGCCGAACGAGCTTGGGGGATGCTGTTAACCGATCCGGGGATATATACAGCCTGTAATTGTTTATGCGTTGACGTCAGGCACCTTTGGCAAACCTATGATTGCTTAATAAACACAAGCTTTTAGCCAGACATTTTAAACTGAACGTATTTTCGCGGTGAAGATTTACGACTGACTTTGCATTAATATTAATGCGCATACTTCGTGGAAATGGAAAATACTTCCGTTCGAAGAAAGTAAAAGATAGAGGGATTTTTACTAATTGAAACGACCAGTAATGAGAAACTTTCGTATCCCATTAGTTATCGAACTACCAGACGGTTTGCTTTAAATTATGACATCTTATCTAGCAAAAGATTGTACAGTTAAATGCCAAGTTATGTCCAGACGTATAATGATTCATCTACTTTATTAGCCCCTACTTCTTTTAGCGGCAATAATTGTTTATGTGGAACTTTGATTAAAAAATGTTACGAATACGTGACATAATCGTTGCAATAACCCGAGGTCCGTACTAAATTAGAAATTTTCAAACAAAATTATTGACGTTATGTCGTTAGTTGGAAATTCTTAATAGCATAATATTAGATAAATAATAAGATGTAATTGACACTGCAATGATTAATTTGAATTTTTTGAGTAAAGAAAGGCTTAGAAAATGGAAGGATTAGACTAAAAGTTGCTTCTCTTATCTTTAGATAATAAGAACACTTCCGAGATTACTGCCATTTTCTTTTCTATTTTGACGATATTTTTAAAAATAGCTTCATAAAAGCAAATGCCTTTGGTTGAAATACGTTTTTTGTTGATGGCATTTTTAAGAGATTCTCAGCAGATATAGTTTGGTTGATATTTGGATTCATTTGTATAAGTATACTTGGAATCCTTTGGAAATATTTGCAAGAATACGTACAGTCGTCTTTTGAAATTATTGACATACAAAGAAGATATGTCAAATATTTGTAAAATATTCATAAATATTCATCGACATATACATATAACGTATAATGCTGGTATGAAAATATACAAGTGTCAGACTCCATGTAGAATTACATTCTATAGTATGTATCACATCATAATAGGAATGCATATTTCAATAACAAAGCCATTCCAAAAAGTTCTATTGCGATTGAAAATTCTATAATCTAGGCTGCCGTGTTTGGCATTCTTAGCCTTTGCTAACTTTATCATGTTCGTAATCAATTTCCGTGATATAATAAATGTGCTATATTGAAAATACAATTTCTTCCTTGGCATTGCCTATTTACATTGTGAAACGGAATTCAAGAGACGAATGAATCATCATGTTTACAAAATAAATTCCATAAGCAAATATTAATTTATATTCAAATACAATGAAATGATATTTCACCAACTTATTGGGAGAAAAAGAGAATTTTTAATATTTATAGTATAAATGTATATAGTAATGTTTAAGCTCCAAGACAACTCAATGTATTTCAAACAGCGGTTACGCCTTATCTTATCATCATAATTCTTTGATTAAACAGGTCCTTCCGTGCTTGCATTTACATAATTTAAAAATTACAATGCTTTTTACGGTAATAATATTATTGTCACACTATATAATGGCAAAACCTCCCTCGCGTATACCCCCACATGCAAACGTCCCATGCTTCTCTTGGCCCTCGATAAACGCTTCTTTCTTGGAATCCCCCCCCCCACACACACACACACACCCACCCCACCCCACCCCTTCTTGTAAAACTACACAATAAAAAGCTGAAATAATCGCGTTTTAATGAAATATTCATATTTGCCTCTATGTTCACGGCTAATCTCGAGTTATGATTTTATGTGAAATTTATATGTTACGAATAGCATTGAAATATAAATAATATTCAATACTGAATGATATTCAATATGTATCTCGGATTATGAGAGTAAGATTACGAAATGCATAAAAAATCTTGAAAATATTATGAAGGAAAAGAAAATTATATTTTTCATTAAAATACATAGTTTAATAAAGATAATAATGAAATATCAAAATGAATTATCTCAATCGCTGTCATATATTTTATTTCCCTTGTATTTATGCCGAAATAATAAAATTAATATGGAAAATTTTTATAAAAAATAATATTCGGTATTGTTATACTATACAAATAAATTAAATGTACAAAATTTTTAATATTTTATGATATATATATATATATATATATATTTTTTTTTTATCCTTATACAATACAATTGAAAAATCGCGTATTTTCTACCAAATCATATTATCTTTTATTGTAATTAAATTAAAATTGTCTAAGTATATATAATTATTATAGCATATTCATAAGTATATATAAGACATTACTATCGGATTCCAAAATTAATAATTAATATTATGAATCGAATATAATATCGATGATATAACATCTTATTTTCATTCGAATTTATGCAAATATTAATAAATGTCAATTTATTTTCATTGCAAATGGCAATTTGGAAATCTCAATCTGAGCTTTGAAATCCATTTGTGCTTTCAAATAAATCAGTCGGTAGAAATTCTCTGTAATTTTTTTATTAATTTTCACAGTATTACGAGCTGATTAAATGTAATATTATTTCCTAGTTGAGTCTATTATTATTGTATATATATATATATTTTTTTTTTTTTGTATTTTCCGTGAAAATCAGCGAACAACGAAGAAATACGCATTACTTCCGCAGTGACGGCGATGATATACTTGGACTTCCGGTAAAAGCAATGAAACGCATGGATATTTTCAGCAATTACAATTTATGACAAAATCAAAATACCGACATAAATAATTGATATTCGAGTTACTTCGAGATATTCGAGTGATTTCGTGGACGTTATATACACGGCAAGTATAATTTGACATTGAAAAAGAAAATTTGAATTGAAATTGAAAAAAAAAAAGAAAAAAAAATTCATTATTTATGATTCATTAATTAATCAAATATCATTAATTATAATGCGACACTAGGATATTTGAAAGTAACGATTAATGGCAAAATGGATAAGAGTAATTGCTATGAATTTATTAAAAAAAAAAAAAATTCGTATACGTAAATCTGTGGAAAATTAATCGTGTTATTATAAACATTTGGTACTAAAAAATGTTTACTCCATAAAAGAATGCAGTGCCAATATTGTAACTAACAATTTCTTTATCTTGTTAATAAAAGTATTTGTTTACTTAAACGTTGTGAGGAATGAAACGATAATATTGAACGCCAATAAAATAGTCTCAATAATCAATATAAATAACTTATCCATAATATTTTTTCTTATTCTATATAAAGAAAAAATTGTCATATTATTAATAAGCAGGTATATAAAAGAATTTAAAAAGATTCATGAAATTCATTGATGAATAAATTCAAAAATACTTTAGAAAAACAAACATCAATTTATAAACTTTCATAATCTAATTATAATAT